AAATGGCTTAGGTTCTTTATCTTTAGAAACTAAAAAACCTAACACTACAGCGTGGATAAATAAAGCGAAACCTTACTTTGTGGATCAAATCGGAGACACTCTTCAAGGTGATTTAGATATGAACAATTTTACCATAACTAATTTAAAATCTCCGGAAAACGATAATGACGCTGTTCACAAGAAATATTTACGGGAACAAATAAATTCAATTGAAGTAAATAAAAACCATTTAGAAGATAAAATAAGTAATGTGAAAAGATTCTTCAAAATTCAACTAAATAATAAAAATTTTGTTAATGATACTAAACTACAACAAGAGGTAAAAAGATTAATAAGTTTTATTCAAAAAGAATTGGTCAACGTAGCGAATAAAACTGAGTTACAAAATTTAATTTCATTAATATCTAAATTAGAGGATAAGATTGCAAAACAAAAATTAGACATAGATAACATTCCAGATGAAAATGAAGATACGTTTCAACAGGAATTAAATGCTCTAGAAACTTAACTTAACAGTGAATTACAAAAAGAACTAACAAATATTAAAAAACAAATACAAAACATAGATGATAGCGAAATCAAAACGTATATTCAACAACAAATACAAAACATAGATGATAGCGAAATCAAAACCTACATTCATCAACAAATACAGAACATTGATGATAGTGTTATTCAACAACAGATAAACACTATTAATAACCTAGTTTTGAAACAGGATAAAAATATAGTCGCATTAGAAAAAAAGTTTCTCAAGAAAGAATCATATTATTTCAATCTTCCATTTGGAAATTTGAGAGATTACAATACTTCTATTACTGATAATATTGATAGATCAAAAGACTATGAATTTAAAAAATATGGATTTACAGCAAATATTAGAGTATATTCTCTTTCAGGTGATCAACCACAATATATTTTTGATTCAGATGTTGGTTTTTATTCAATACCTTTTATTTTTCGAGGAAAACTTTTCGAGGAAAACAATTGCAATAACATTTCCTATACAGGTAAAAGTTGATTCATTATTCTTCAAACAACAATCACATTTTTCATTAAATAAAAAATTTAACGCTCGTAAAGTTCTTCAGTTTATCAATGGCACAAAAAATGTAGAAACTAAAGAATTAGAAATTAACGACGAAAACACCAAGGTTAATCACTTATATGAAATTAAAACGAGTGGAAAATATATAGATAGGTTTAGAATGTTAATCATACCAGATAATGAAGAAGATTTTCTTACTTTGAGTGATTTTGATATGATATTGGAAACGGAAACTCGACCATCAATGAATATTATTAGAAATCCAGAACCACAAAAAGAAACAAACACTTATGAGTTTTTACGAACGACAGACTTTGAATACGTAAAACTATATTTTGTTAATAATGATTTATTTACCTCAGTCGATATTCATAAAAGTCAACAAGATAAAGAATTTATAATATTTTCATCAATTATTGAAAAAGTTGTAGGTATATATACCTGTAGATGTAAAATAAGAATCAATATCGAAAAAC